GAGCTGGACCCTATAAGCAGTTCTCTTTAGCCATCTCGCTTTGTCACTGGAGGGACACCACAGGAGTGAGGAAGGGGCTTTTTCTTTGCTCATTGAGCATCCCTGTGTTCTTGCTCCTGTGGTGCTTAGTTGGGGTGTGGGACCCCCAGAAGCCCTCACCCTCAGTTTTGGCAGTAGCTTCCAGTCCAGCCTACCTCCGCTGGCTTCCCAGATAATTCAACAGTATCCCTGCTGGTACCCCAGCCAGATTCTTAGTGAGTTCAGTGGCACCCCTGCAGGGGGACCCCTGGCAGAGTGGCCAGCACCTCCTCTGGAGCTCCTCTCTGGCTCTCCAGTGTCCCATAGGTGGCTTCTTGCTGCCAGCATCTCAGTGAACTTCTTGACCCTCAGTGGACCACAGGTACACCCTCCTCTAGAGGATCAGAATCTCAGCCTATGGGGCCAGGGTGAGTAGGGGTGGGTGGCTCTCCCAAACTTGTTTTTTCCTTGGACAGTCTGCCTCAACTCCAGTGGTAACTGTCCCTGTGTCTGCTATTCCTGTACTCTTTAGTAGCTAATCCCTCGTTACTTATTAATCTTTCTTCTCTCATTCATAAGCACCTACACACACATAAACACACATAAAAAAGAACATATAAAGTTTCCCCATATAAATTTATAAAGCTTTCCCATTGTAATTACTTGGTGATTACCTGACCCATACAAAGTGCCAGGAATTATTCCAGGTGGTTTGCGAAGATTAACTCGTTCAGTCTTTACAAAAAACCTCCAAGGTATGTATGGTTATCAGCCCATGGAGAAACTGAGGCAATGAGATGTTCAGAAACACGCCCAAGTTTACACAGCTGGGAAGTGGTGAGGCCTGGATGCGAGTCAAGCTAGTCTGCCACAAGGGTCAAAACTTTAGTAGATCTGTTCTCTTCCCATCTTCTTTAGAATTGACTTATTGGATTATTTTGCATTTAGACTCCACAATGTTCTAGGCATATTGGAGTTGACCACTCTTTCCTATCTGTTCTCTTGTATTTATTGAGTTCCTACTGTGTGTTAGGCATTGGCAGAGGGGTAATAACATTATTGGCCAGGTTGTTACACAGTGATACTAATTTATAGAAAGTGTATGTTCTCACAAGAGACTAGGAACTGGTAAATCTAATTCAAACTTAAGCACCTGAAGTTAAAAATAGGTATTTTCTGTTTTTGATGGGAGGCACCTTTTACACTCATTTTCTGTAGAAATTCTTTGGTCATTGTTGCACTTACAGCTCTGAAATAATTATTTTTATGTGTGAGAAATCTACATATTTTCTCAAGCAAAGAAACAAATTTGCTTAGAACCTATTTATTCCCTAAAAACTGTGTATGGCAATGTCACCTGTGAGATTTGAACTTACTAGTAGCACCAAAAGCTGTGAGAAGAAGCAGAGTTCACAAGCAAGGGGTCCTGTGAAAATCAATCACCAAAAATAATTTATAAGAACCTGCATGATGAAAGCAACCTTGTGTGCTTCTTGGACAGCACGACTGGGTCCAGACCAGAGTGCCCTTTGCCTAGGGGGCTGCTGTAATGGGATTAAACACTGGTTTGGGCTGATTTCCTCCAAGGACCAGGGAGTTCTTTGAAACTAAGAATAGACAGAAAACTTCCTTAGGATTTATAAAGCCTTGTTAGAAAAAGCAAAAGGATGAAAAAAAGTTCCTTCTAATAGCTTGCAATGAATAGTATTAAAATCGTGCTTCAAATTCTGAGGTAACAAGAATCCCTGGCACTTAGCAACTCTTCATATTTTTTCTCACCAAATTAGAGCAGTTAGGATGGCTCAGTACTTTCAGGGAGCAGCATATTAGCCAGATGAATGATTTGGATGGTGATGATGAGTTTGCTGAAGAAATGTGGGAGCAGGTAACTGGTTATTTCTCTTTTGTGTCACTTTTTTGGTGCCTGGGATAACTCTGGAGTCCTAGCCCACCTGTGCCTGCATTTAGGTATGGCCTCTGGATGCTCTCGTTAGCATGTCTGTAGAGAAGTGAAAATCTTACCATCTCTAGACACAAGAGGGCACTCTAAACAGGCAGGGTAGGATACAAGGTAGAAAGGGAGAGAGGGAAAACTCTCAGGCAATTGAATTTAGGTTTTGAATTTAGGCACCCCTACCTCTAGTCTTTAATCAGTTCTCCCAACTCCACTGACCCTTCCCCTACCCCAGTTGCCCTAGGAAAAGAACTGATCAGGTCCTAGATTCCCTCTTCTCATGATTAAATTGAAATTGAGGCTCAAATCTAGGCTTTCAGAATCACAAGTTCCAAATCTCTTACTTACTTTGGCAAAAATCTGCAGGTCGCTTTTGGTCTGGCAACTTTTCCCATTAACCTCATTTGATGTTGCTTCCCTAGGAATATTTAATTAGAATCTCTTTTTCTGATGCCAGCAGAATTGAACTACTTGTGAACTGAGCTTTAATTTGGATATGTTGTGTTTCTAGTTTCTTCCCTCAAACTGTCATAATGTCTTTTATTGAGGATGAATTTTGTATGACTTCTGTTGAACTTTCTAAGTGTTGCTGCATTCAGCACCCCTAGGATAGGCTCAACAGGACAGAGCTGGAGTCTGCAGAGATTCTCAAATGGAATGGAAATTTGGAATGTAATGGGAACCCAACAGGGAGGTTTGAATTTCACAGATGGGGTCTTGGTACAATGTAGGTGAGTTTTGAAGTTATTCAATCTTCATGGGTATTAAAATGTTTTAACCTCTACTAAAGAAATGTTTAAGAGTGAAGAATCTATTTTTCTGGCTATTGTGCATTAAGCAGAGACAGGAGAGTGCTTCTGCCTGTGGATTTTTTTTTAAAGGAGTTTAAAACATTTTAAAAGAATGGCAGAATGCGACAGGATCACAATGGTTCCACCTGAGCAGACATAATATAGTATTTAAATGACCTGACAGTGACACTACAATATTGAAATTACCATTTCAAACATACAAATTAGTAAATGCTCACATGCCCAGGGTCTCATAAGAAAGGCAAAATCTAGGAAAAAAACCATAATTAGGTCTGAACACTTTTTAGCATTCTGTTTTATTTCTTTTCTGTGAGCTGGGAGCATTTGCAATGTGCTTACGAATGTGTTTGAGCTGTCTTAACCCTGAGAGCGGTCAGTCAAGGCTGAGAGTGGTAGGGGCCAAGGCTCACAAAGGCAGGTACACTCCTGACCTGGAAAATGTAGGGTTTTCCTGCTGCAAGAATTATTTGACTCATCTTTAAAGCGGTCACATATTAAACTGACATTTTTTCAGTGGCAGGCCAAATCTTGCTACACAAAATTTGTGCAAAGTCCTTCTGTCTTGTAAAATATAAATTCAGGGCCTCAGATGGAGTAAACAGGGATTGCAGTCCTGAACATTTATCTTTCTTATTTGAACGAACACCTCTTCCTTCCTTCCTTCCTGGAATGTGACTTAACATTTAAAATTCCTATTAAATCTCTAGGTACATCCAGAGACTTCAGAAAGCTCTCTGCGGAGAAGGCAAACATCCTCCGGTACTTGGTTGCGTGGCTCAGGGCCGCTGCTCAGGGCTGCTCTGTGGAGGGGAGCCACTGAACCTGGGCCGCCAGAAAAAATGTTAACGCTGAGCTCAAAATAAGCATTTGCACTTGAAAGAAGCCAACCAATCTGTAGGACACAAAGAAGTTGGACGGAAGAAGTGCCCTTACTGAAGTGCCCTGCAAAGATAGGGGACGTGGGGTTCTGTGGGGCTTGGGCCCTCCAGTGTCCATTCTCTCTTCCTGAGGAAACAGTAGCCCTTCCCACACAGCCCCTGTGTTTCTGCGGGGCTGGACTCCCATTAGTCTATGCTAATAAGTATATCTTATTTGCTGCCCTCTCCCCCAGTCTGGTGATTGATTGGTGTAGCGACAAGCCTACCTGCAATCTGGGCCAATGATTTTCAAGACCCTTGCAGGGACTTCTGATAAGGATACTTGCTCCCCATGCATGCTATCTGCAGAGCATCTCTTTTCTTCTAGACAGTGTAGGGCATGGACTTGAATCTTAGAAGTAAGGCAGCTATTTGCCACCACTCTGAACACACTGTCAGCCTATGGAGGAAGGAGAGCGGAGGTAATCAAGAGAAATGAGCTGGAGCCCTGATCAAATTGGACCCAAGGCATACTTTGTTGCTGGACTTTTCAGTCACTGAACCAATAAATTGTCTTTATTGTTTAAGCTAGGCTGAGCTGAGGTTTATGTCACTTGCAACCAAGGTTTCCAAACTACCACATTGTGTGTAAGATGACTGGGGTGCATATCCACTTATATGTGGGCAATGTACTGGCAGGGGCCATTGTGAGGCATTATTTTTTTTTTCTGAAAAAAGACTTGTCCGAAGAGAAAGAGTATTGTGGAGAGATCTGTGCCACAACCTCTAAAGTTTTCCTGAAAGTACTACATTTAATAATAAAGTAGGCATCAATAAAAAAAGCAAGCCAGGTGTCAAATGCAGCATATTTTAATTTGTTTCAAATAAAGCAATATATGTATATATATATTTTTTTCAGAAAAACACCAGATGTTAAATTCTACAAAAGCGCATGTGTCTTCAGCAGATCATGTTTGTCTGATCAGTAAGGATTTTTTTTTTCCAACATTAACTCTCTAAAGACAATCAATGGACTGACATCACTGCTACAACACAGGTTGCTACTGAGCCTCTGATCTTTAGCCACATCTTGATTTTCCTAACAAATGAGTAAATACTGCCTGGCTAAAATGCTGCAATGTCTTGGTGAGAAAAAGCATCAACAGATCAAGCAAAGCCATGAAATGTTATGAAAGCAAGCTAGAGCTGATTATTAGAATTAGTAAAAATGATTAAGAGAGGATGACACAACCATATAGGGTTTGTATATTCTGATTGACTCTCTTTTGGCAGCGAATTGGGTCAGCACCTCGGGCAGGGAACCAAAACTGAGTGAAAACTGCTTTTTTCTCTCCTAGCTCAGGCCACCAACGTTACAGCTGGGACTGAGAGGACCGCGGCATCTGTGGAAACTTCTATTCTTGTAGGGCAGAGATTGCACTGTGAAACCCTAGTGACATTACCCCGGAAAGGCCTGGCCTCCGAGTTGTCTACAGCGTGCTGCCTTCGCCGGGGCTTTTCTGAATGGGCCGGGGCCTCAGGGGTCTTTGTTCCCAAGGGGGCTTCTTGGTTTTTGGCGCCACCTTTGTTTTTGGGACGGAAGCCATTGTGCGGCTGTCTTCTGTGTTCATGGCGGTTGTTGCCCTTCATCATCAAATCAGCTTCATTACCACTGCCCTGGGGCTTGGCAGACCCATTTAGCCGGTTGTTATGGTACTGTGGATTAAATCTTCGTCTTTGGCTAGAAGATCCATTCTACCAAAAGAAGAAAAGAGATAGGTATTAGGTGCCAACAAACCGCAGATACCATCAGGGAAACCACATTTCTAAGCCACAGGTAAGCTTTTTTTACATCCTAGAAGACAATGACAAGATGAAAATGAGGTCAAGCTGATAAAAGCTTAAAAGAACAGTGGACAGTCTTGCAAGTGGAACTCCAATTACTGATGTTGGAAGAGAGGTTTCAGAGTATAAGACAGACAAATCAAGAACCAGGATAAAGAAATCCCATAAAATATGCTTAAAATATAATGTAACGAATGTAACACAGAGGCAGGATAATGATGATTCTCTACCGTGAAAATTTCTTGGACCTTCTAAATAGACTAGAAATATGAATTCTCATTACAATGTATGAGGAAAAATGTAAAATTCTGTTTAAAATTCGGTTTGTAATTTTTCTTGTCTAAAGCAGTTTTTCTATTTTATCATCTTGAAACAAATATCATAGTTTAGAAATATTATCTTGGGTAAGTATAAGGATGAGGTGTATCTGGTAGATCCTGGCAGGATATAGAAGTAACATGTATTTTCATGGAGGTAATTAGTTCTTCTAAACCTTATATAGTTCTTAGCCAACGAGTTTTGAAACATTATACTGGAAAATTGGCAGCCTTCAACAAATCATCAACCAAGAATATAAATGGAAGAGTAGAAAGGAAGCAATGGTTAGCTTGTCTGTCTCTGTACAAGGGAAAGATTTCTGAACTCTATGAGATTAGTTACAGCCAACATTTATTGAGGGCTTAAAGTGTTCCAGGCATCAAGCAAGGTACCATCTCATTTATCATCACACTGACCCTTTAAGATAGTTGCTATTATTTGCTTCATTTTATGGATGAGGATAATGAATTTGAAGGACTTGCCCAAGGTCTAGAGTTAAAAAGTGGTGGAGCTATTCCCATTTCACATACTGTCTCCTGACAAGATTCATAAATAGGTTGTTCCATGAATACGGGCCTTGGTTGAAAATCAAATCTCTACTATTAAAATGTGTAATTTTATGACTTACAAATTTATAAAGTTCTACATTTGTGCTTTGTGATGGGATGGTATAGGTTTATGGCAGATCCACCCCTAATAATTCAAGGCCCAGGCCAAGAGCACAAAGGCAAGCCCATGTACCACATGAGTGAATATTGTCTCTTCCTCCCTCTGACTCCTTCCAACATTGTGAGTGGGCCTTGCACACACAAATGTGGACACTTCAGCCTGCACACTTAAGATTTGTCCTCACACCCATGAACAATCATCCTTTGGACCTAGGAGTGTGCATACTGGTAGTATGGTCTGCCCTCAAGGTGATATATCCAGGGAAGTGGTCCAAAAAAATCCTGAGAGCAGGCTTGGTGCCATTTGGGAATAGAATTCCAGGATCTTGAGTACTTGGGAGAATACAGATTCTGAGTAGTGACATCTCTTTGGTCTTGCTCCATAGGGATGGCCGTGGCTGGGAGAAAGCACAGGGCCCGGTACAAGGGCCTTTCTTCCCTGGGTCTACAGGGCTCTGGCTTGTGTATATGTTTCCATTTAAATGAGCCTTTGCCTGAAATGCTTTGCTGAAAATGATAACAGTGAGCTGAAAAAGTATCTATGCGGCTAGCATTTAATCTGGTTGCTTTTGTTTTTAAAGAAGTGAAAGGGAAGCCCAGACTAAATTTTAGACTTAATTTTAGTATGGGGTTTAATAATGACCAAAGAACAAAAGCTGTGAACAAAAGCTATGAAGATGTGAAATATGAAATGCTCCTTGTCAAAGTGCTGTTTTAGAGTTGGTGAAGATACCTGGGGCCAGAGAAATGTCTGTCAGTGTAATTAATGAGAATTCTAAAAGACCTAGACCACAAAATCCAACAGGGCACTTGTTAGAAAACCAGCATTTGGGAATGCTTTAAAAAAGTCTCTTTATTTGAGCACTCTTTCTTAGAATTCATGAAAGGTGTCTTTATAGCATGCCCAACGTCTGTTATCATCAAATTCCATTTCCTGTTCATTCTCCTATGATAAGAGGGAAATCACTTCTCAAGCATATAGTGGAGGAGCAAAGGAATGAAGGAAGACTGACCTTTGGACACTTACATTTTTAGGTGTTACGGCAGATAAGAATTAATAATGTCATTTTGAAATGTATTCTCTTTACCAAAAGCCCAAGAGAGAGAGATTTGAGCTAACTTTGGCCTCTTACTGATAAACTACACATCAATGGGAATTAAAGAATCTTCAAAACCAAATGTCAGATTCCCTCCCTCCAGTAGCATCAGTGGCCAGGTACAGAGTCTTGTTCCCATGTCTGTGTGAGTCCCCTCTGCACATGGGCCAGTGACCAGGGCTTGGGGGGTGGTGGCCCCAAAGGCACAGGAAGAGCTGGCTCATTCAGGTGGACTCTCCTAATACCACAGTGTACGAAGGACACTTCCTCCACCTAGGAAAGTGCCTGTGAAATGTGGCTGGATGGACCAGGGGAGTTCTGCGAGGCCAGTGGCTGATGGAGGCCTCCGAGGTCAGGCAGGTGGTTTCTGCCCGGCACCTTGCACCAGGGTCTGCCTTCCCAGAGCGGCTTACCTGCTTATTAGTTGGCACGGCCTGGTGAGAGCTGTCGGCAGCACTGGGAAGATTGCTTGCCATTTTTGGGTTTGCTGCTTTACCCTCTGAGGCCTTGTTGTGATTGGATGATTTTCGGGTAAAGTTGCTCTGTTTTCCAGAGGTTGCTGCATGGGCATTCAGCAGCGGCAGCAGGGAGCTGCAGGGAGTTCTTGAGGAATAGTTGTTCTTTGGGTGTGTAACTGCAACAAGAAAGCGCGTGGTGTTATGGGCTATGCCATGAACACTCCTGCCTTAGTAACTGGTTAAAAGATGGGAGAAAGTGGCAGAAGCTTCGTAAAAACATTCCTTTTTTTTTTTTTTTTTTTTTTTTTTTTTTTTTTTTAAAGCTGTTATTTGAAAGGGCACTTTTGTGTTTGTGAGGCCAGTGAAGCTCTTCAGTGAGAATCATTGAACTGTCATTACAGCATAATCATCCAAGTTGGGAAACATTTGTAGGAAATAAGACATATCTGAGCAACGTTAATATTATTCCTTAGGTTAAGCACCACAAAAGGAAGAGAGACAATGAAATCTTGGAAGTATCCTCTCATGCCTGTCCACAAGTGTATTTTGCCTCTTGACTGCCCCATTACCAAACCCATTCTTTGCCCTCCTTGTCAGACCCCTAGACCAGTGGGTGCTGCAGAGACGCAGAAAAACCAGGAGGCATGTGGACACCTGGCTCATCAGAGCCATGATGTCCTGTTGGGTGTCAGGAATTTTGTCAGCCTGGGTCATGCATATTTTGCGACAACAGGGCCAGACCTACCAGCCCCAAACATGACCTAAAGCATCTTGCATATTCCATGAGAGCCACATTATCTGGCCTTTTCTCAACCCCATTTGCTACAGCTCCACTGCAAATCTGCACCAGTTCCAATGCTAAAGTCAATGCAGACTAATCAGACAGATTCCCAGCAGGCTCAGGCAGGTCTGCTCAATGTTTATTATCACCATTCCCGCTGGTTTTGAAAGAGGTGGTTTTTGATGGGATGATTTCTATGTGATTATGCTGAATCAGGGCTGGAGGGAATCACTCAAGGATAAAGTTATGACCTCCCTCTCACAGTTCACCAGAATTTGAATGCCATGCTGGACAGTAAGACCTTTGAATCTTAAAATTGTCACCAATTTTTAAAAGTAATTTTCTCTGCTACCCTTGTTGGATCAGATTTAATCCTAGGGTTCTTCCAGAGGATTAGCAGTGACTAGTAGGGATCATAGAACATTAGAAATGGAAAGGAGAGGGATGCATCATTTATCCCCCAAATAAGGGATAAATAGTCCCCTTATTTATAGGTAAGGTGTGACAGCACGTTGGGGGCTGTCCGAACATGACCAGGGGGTTTCAGTGGCTCTTGTGCTCACTAGATCAGTTTCACGGGGGTCATTCTTTCCTACAGCTCAGGGACAACTATATCTGGTTCATTAGCTGTGGGTTTCCAATATGCTGTCAACAAAGCTGATCTGGAAAGAGCCTTTTGAAGACTATTGTCTGCAACAGGGGAGGCTGACTTTCATGTGGACCCTTGGAATTTGGTAAGGGATGGCTCCTCCCACTAGATGGCACTGGACGTGCTCTGGAGGAAAGCAGGCAAGCTGAGCTGCCCACCCCTCTTCAGTCACTTGGCATCAGGGTCTTGCTCATCACCAGGCTGAAATGGAAAGTAGCTTGGGCAGTTAAATTGCCAACTGTGGAGCAGACTGTCTGCATTTTTAGAGATGGGGCAAAAGCTGGGGGTAGAGAATGATAAATGGGTAGATTTTTATATATGGGAGAGAACATGTATTAAAAAAAGGAAAATAATTTAAAGGAAATGCAATAAGGGGGCACTTGGCTGGCTCAGTTGGTACAGCATATGACTCTTGATCTTGGGGTTGTGAGTTTGAGCCCCATGTTGGGTGTAGAGATTACTTAAAAATAAAATCTTAAAAAAAAAAAAAAAGAAATGCAGTCAGAAAATCAAATAACTGCCAAAGATATGTGAACAAGGATGCTTACAGCAGTGTTACTTTAATGGTGAAAATTTGGGAGCAACCTAAATGTCCACAATCACATTTGTGGACTGTTCACATCAATTATATTTATATAAATTATGAGTTAAATATATTGACATGGAAAAGTCTCAGCCATATGTTATAAAATGGTAAAAGCATCTCATATTACTATATATTATGTAGTATAGTATAAATTGTAACATGTAGTATAATTATAGATGTAATATATAACTTACACAAACTAAACATGCGCATAAAAAGTGCAAAAGCTACACAGAAGTAATGTCAAGTTCTCTTTAACATAGTTCTCTAATTTTAGATCAAGCTTTAGATCAAGAAAAAAAGCACTTTCCACTCTGAAAAAAAAAATGCAGCCAAATCTCAAATTTTCAGCTGACTCTGAGGTTGTGGGTATTCCATGTCCCTCACTAGTCCTTCTTTCCCCCTTGTGCCTGTCCTTAAAGCCATTTCACTGTTCATTCCCACCTCCCCTGGTGGGTGGGCTGGAGTAGGAGAAAAAAAAAGATCAGCCAATTTTGTTGCACATTAACTGCTCTAATTAAGGCTTAATAGCGAACAAGACTAAAGCTAATGGCTGAAGCGAAGTCTTTCATTATCTTCAGACTTCACTCAGCACAGAGAGCCGACCAAGGGAGAGGCTCCCAGCACTGCTGAGCAGAGCACATACGACAGCTGGGCCCTTTACGACAAGAGCCGATTGTTCCCAGACTTGTTAGGGAGACTGGCTCTCAGTGTAACAGGTCTCTGTGGAACCAGACTATTTGAAATCAGAGAGGCAGTTTATCTGGCAGTGCTTAAGAAAAGTTTGCAAAAGATATAGACTAGTTGACCTGTTCTGTTCTGCTTAATAAATCCTGGGGATTTACTGATGGGCAGTGGCATTTGAAGACTCTACGTTCAAATCTTGACATTTCTAGTGACTTGTGTCATGACCTTAGATCATTAAATCTCTTTAGACCTTGCTTTAACCCCGCTGGGGAACCGCACACCTGACATTTCCAATATCAACTCCAAATAGCACCAAGCTTACTCACACAGAATTATTTAGCAAGTATGCAAAACTCACTTTCTCCGCAGAGCATGATTTGGGCCTTTAGCTGTTCAATGTCACAGGAGAATCGGGCAGCTTTCCCGAGCTCTTCATCATATTTACGCTCGCTGACAAAGTGCTGGAGGAAAGAGAAGTAAAACAGGAGCCCCACAGTTACAGAAATGACTGAGGCACACTGCAGATTCATTCACTCTGCTCTTCGGCTACCACTGATGGTGTTAACCAGGAAGGCAGTCATGCCGGTTCTGTCACCGTGTGGCTCCATTAAATCAGGCTTGGTTTGACCGGTCTGGAGCATGATCACCTTCTTGTTCTGGGAATAGGTGAGGATCCTGTCTTTCCCCTGCCTAGACTTGGAGAAAACCGTGATCAGACAAAATGTGTGTCTGGACTCGTGTATTTAACCTTTAGCACCCCTTGCGCTCCTTCTGGCATGTTTTGTCCTGTTACAAATTTTGGGGCTGCATTCTGTCAGTCTTCCTAAGTTGGCCAATGGCTTGCTCAGGTATTATCCCTGGAGAGAAGACACGTCATCCTTCCCTGTTGTGATAGGGAGCCAGGAACCAGGAAGCGCAAAAAGCCTTTAGTAACTAGAAAACATTATCTTGAATGGTAGAATTTCAAGATTTCAATGTCTTCAATGGTAGAATTTCCCACTTCCTGTTAAAGGAAGTGGGAAAGAGATTATTTTTCAATTCATTTAAAATTTAGATCTGTGTGTAGATGTCAGAGTGAGAAATACAGAAATAACTATGACTCAGTCCCTCCTGAATTTGCCAGGGAGTTTACCACATGGCAAGGGAAACAGATACCACTAAACATAATATAAGGTAGAATGTGGAAGGTGCTTTAAGAATATAAAAGAGGAAGAATTATTTCCTACAGAGGGGAACAGAGAAAGAGTTATGTAAGGGGGAGCATTTGTGCTGGAACATTAAAAAAAAATTACCGATCACTTACCAGACATGGGCCAAATTCTTAACAGATAATCTCATTTTCATCTGATCACATTATTACAAAGTCAGTACTATTATTATCTCTATATAAGGGGAATCAAGGTTCTAGGAATCTAAGAGAAAAGTAGTTTACCCAAGGTCACAGGAGCTGGACTGTTTGACTCCAAAGTCTGTGCCATTAACCATTTTATGATGAGTGGGATTTTGGTAGGCAGAAATGAAACTTGGAAAATAAGTAAATTTCTGGGGCGCCTGGGTGGCGCAGTCGGCTAAGCGTCCGACTTCAGCCAGGTCACGATCTCGTGGTCCGTGAGTTCGAGCCCCGCGTCGGGCTCTGGGCTGATGGCTCAGAGCCTGGAGCCTGTTTCCGATTCTGTGTCTCCCTCTCTCTCTGCCCCTCCCCCGTTCATGCTCTGTCTCTCTCTGTCCCAAAAATAAATAAACGTTGAAAAAAAATTAAAAAAAAAAAAAAAAAGAAAATAAGTAAATTTCAATAGACTAGGAAACTGGCAACTTCATATTCTTCACCTGATGTTCTAACAAGGGATGAGAGCTCGAAGTTGGAATATATATACTGGAGTCTAGTTATGGATTTTATTCTGATGGGAAGGGTGGACCAAACTGGGGGAGACCAGATCTGCTCTGGGGTGTAACTCTGGTCTTAGGGTGGATGACCAGGCTGGAGGGAGACAGCAGAGGGAGAGAGACTAGTCAGGAGGAAGTTGCAATTGACTGGTTGCAAGCAACAACCACGAGAAGAGCAGATGAGGAAGGAAAGGCCACTAGGACTTCACAGGACCCGCGGAGGAAGTCCTTATCCTCACAGGGCTCCCCTTCATGCTTCACCAGGGCAGAAGGGACTCAAAAGTCACTTGCCACTTTCCACCATGCCCGACCAGGTTTTGCCTGGATAAGCAGACAATCCTATGTAAAACCTAGTAGCAGCTGAGTCCTCAAGGTACTCGAGACTCTAGAAGGTGGTTAGAAGCCAAGTGCATGTATACATGTGTGTATGTTTAGTATACTGGGGAAAGAGAAGAGGAGAAGGGAAAACGTATAAATTGTAATTTCCTGGTTTGTTATAGATACTTGTTTTTGCCTTTCTGGTAACCATTTTTTTCTGGTTACTGTACCCCAGTGCAGTTTCAGAGATCCGCAGTGTTGGCAGGTCTGTCAATCAAGGCATCCCTTGGCCAAATGGTGTATGTGATCCAAGTGGGGGCCAATCATAATCTCTTTCTTTGGGATGTGAATCGGGTGGGGTGGCACAAAGGGTGATGACATCTGAAGGTCACGCACTCTAATGGTGCCCTGAAGAGTGTCTGGTAATTACTGCTGCCTGTATTACCCAGGTGGCTGCCTGGGTTTCTGCCTAAGTGTAGCCTGGAGTCTTCAGATCACACTTTGGTGAGCTGCACTCATATTCTTTCAAATTCCACTTGTTCTTGAGGTTAGCCAGGGTCAGCTTCTATTGCTTGCAACTGTAGAAATCCAATAAATACATATTTGTGGTGGTATTCTCAATAAAAGGGCAAGTGAGCTAGAAAAGGATACAGAAAAGAAGTCTCTGTATATTGTGTGTGATTTAGAATCCTTACTGTTACACTCAGTTCATACTCACTGTGTACTCACACGTGTGTTTATATACATACACCTAAATTACATATGGTGAAAATAATACCCCCCATTCCAGCTATAATTCATGGTTGAATAGATTTTATTTGGGTCAGTCTCCACTGCCTAAGAAAATAGCTCGTACTTCTCTGTAATAATATATCCCTTCAAACCATAGCATACTTAAATACAGTGATTAAGTTGGTTCTTCGCCCTTCTGAATGCTCTAGTTCAACACTGTGAAAGAGAGCTGGGTATATGATGTTAGGTCCTCAGAGAGCAGCACTCTATGGATGCAAAACAAACATAATGGGGATCAGATCTCTGGCTCAGAGTTCAGGCTGGGATATTTTAGAACTGACCTTAATTTCTGCCCTGAGTTCAGCCAGCTGCATCTCTGCCATCTGACTGGCTAGATCTGTCAGTCTCTTTAGTTCCTCTGCTTTCTTCTGACGAGCAGTCAGGATTTCCACTGCCAAATAAGAAAGAATACTACGTTAGGGCCAGAGACCCAAACATATTAAGTGACCTAATTTCTTGGTATCAGTTCTCTCTCAACACACTGATCACTCTGTTGGACCATGACTATGTTTTCTGAGTTGGTCATCGAGGTGGGTTTGCTCCTGGTGCTCATGACCAATCACCCATTTCTGTACGTCCTTATCTGCCAATCCCCAAATCAAACATGGTCCCTTCTGATTCACTGTATACCCACAGTCTTCTTTGTTTTCTTCACTGGAGTCTGATCTCACTTACTTAATTTGGACTTTCAAATTTGTGCATTACTCAGAACAACTATCACCAAGAAAAAGACACTTAGTAAAATCCTATCTGAATGGTATTGCAAAGAAAAGGAGTCCACTAAACAAAAACCATTCTTTGTGTCCACTATTAAATTCTAACGTTATCAGACCTTTAACACTCCTTTAGAGCAACTAGGTTTATTATTGGAATACGACATAGAAGTTTTACTTTACTGGCTTTATGTGAGCTAAAAAATGCGTCTGCTTTTGATACTCTGCAGATCTGTTTTCATTTTTGCAGTCAGAGAGAAGTTCCAGACCAGAGAGTGTCTTGTCTTTGTTTTAAGTGTCCCCCATGGAAAAATTTCAAGGTTAAGTAAAAGCCTGCTTGAACTGGATTTGTGTATACTCTTTAGCATCTGCACATGCAGCGAAGACACCAGGGAGTTTTCTGGTGCCATATTTCACACATCTGTCAGATGACCTAAAGGTTCAAGTAAACGTAGTAGTCCACAGGTGAACGTGTGTTTGTGTGTGTGTGTGTGTGTGTGTGTGTGTGTGTGTGCACGTGTATGTGTTTCTCAAAAGATCACAGAGCTCAAAAGCAATGCATACAAACACATAGGGTGAGATTTAAATATGAAATTTCATCTTCCAATAGATAACTTGAAGTTCTTGAATTTAAGTCACATATGAATTGCCTTCATTTCTTTTGGACAAGCATTTTGAGTTACAAGAAAAAAGAAGTCCATTCAACTAAGATGATATCCATGTTGGATTCATATTACTTCTTGGCTGAACAAAGGCCAACTGCTTTATTAGACCAGATTTATAGCACACCTGCGGAGCCAAACAATACGATTTCTGATTGTAAGAGTTCTTAATTTATAAATGTCAAAAAGTCACTTTAAAAACTCCCAAAAAAGTTCAGAAGCAATCAAGAGTTAAGATCTCCTGCAAACTACAAACTATTCCACAAACAGAGAAACATTGTCTTTCTATGCTGATACCAATGTTGAGAAGTCAATAAAATAAGTAATCTGTAACTCATAAAGCCTAATTGTTTGCCAAACTACTCTAATCATGCTTTGATTTTTTACCCCCTGCTTCCCATTTACAATACCATGTAGCTGAGCAGAGGCTGATCTGTGCCTGTAGTCTTTCAAAATACAGAGGATCTAGTGTAAAATGTGTCCCTACGATGGCTGTGAAAAGAATTTCCATCTGAACACAGATGATGTATTACTGAATGATGTCCCAGTTACCCAGTCAGACCAGAGGTCACAAAAAAGGTGGCCTACTAACACTTCGGGCCATAGTGTACCTGTGTTTTATTTGGTCCACACATTACTTTTACAAATTAATTGTCCACATTTGAAAATTAGGAGATTCCATATGGAACCTGGATTTCTGGCTTCCCTTAAAATATTGGCATTTCTGGCCAAAGTTGGCCAGCATTGCCATGTGGCAACCGTTGGCTACCCCTGAATTGTTGTTGCCCATTATAGATGGAGCATGGCGCCCAGCATGCCATGGTCACCCTCTGCCCTGCTCATTAAGGTTACCAGCCTGGCCCCTGTAGGCGTCTCCAATCATGGCAGAGGCTGCACTTTACGGTTGTGTCCATGCCGACTCGGACCTGGTACAAAGTGGGTGCCCACTATGTATGTTTGCTGAATGGAGGACTGAATGAATGAATCAATCCATTATTCAAAAGGAATATGCAAAGAAGGAGAGAAGTTCCTTTTCTAGAAGGGCCACTTATATTCAGCACTTATACCTTTGGCTGATTATTTATTTGTCTGCCATTATAATTCACCACAGGAATGGGACTAAAGTCTGGAGTATGAAAAGACGATTCTCGAGCGGGAAGATGAAACAAAGTATTTTGCTCTTGCAAAGATAAAAAATTCTGAAGGCCTAGACTTGATGAGCCGATAGTGAAGGGGTCAGCAGACCATGACTACACAATTAAACAGATCTGACTTTTCTTAATGGATCATTTGTGGGACCGGTGACAATTAGGGATAATTGTACTTTTTGAGAAAAACTTGGGCCTTCACACAAAAGATTTTGTAGAAATAGATATAAATGGGCCCTAAAATAGGAATGCAGGTGCAAGATCACCAATAAACTCTGAGTTTACCCTCATGCAAATGTGCATGGAAATGAATATTTTGCATCAGCAAGTGTTGGGATGAGTTTTACATATAGTCACATTAACATTTCAAAGCATTTCATTACGAAAAAGGCTTAAAACTTGAGATCTAAAGCCAGAATTCTGTGGGGACACCAACATTTTCACCTCAAAAACATCAACCACAGAAACAAAAAGCAAAAACAAAGCCAGATCAGATCCTAAGATTCATTGATCCCCAAATTTAAAATAGAATAATAAGTTATATTTTGCAAGCACCATCCTTTTGGAAATCTGTAGAGGGAGACAGTTTCATAAAGCTTTAATTTTCACTGCATTCATGACTTCATTAATATTATTTAGGTGCTTTTATAAACAGTATCTGGTATGCTGAAATCCATTTTCTCAATAGGATTTATAAATTCCTTCAAGTTTTTGCAACACATTGGAAGCTTGCTCTTGTTGCTTGAACCATGGAAAATTTTAGGGCTTCTCAAATAATATTCCTTAGCAGAGGGTGGACTTGAAATAGGCACAAAGCTTTCAAGCACAAAGATTCTTTGGAACCCTTTTTATTGTTGGGAATCTTGCATTTTTACCTCATAATATATCTGTGTTTCTGTTAATATAAAGTAATGTTTTCTTCCCAGATCGGCAATCAATTTGATATCCCAAGAACACACCTATTTTGGCCTTCAACAAAATTACCCTCAAACAAATTTCAAAAAAATTTCACTCAAAGTCTGAGACCACAGCACTGCAACATGCTTTGTTTCTTCATCTGTAAATGTCATGATCATATATACCTTGTAAGGCTGTTGTGGAGCTAAATGACATCACTGACGTGACATGTTCAGTATCATACACTAAAAGATGCTAACCTCAAATGTGATTAATAAAGTGAGATATAGTCGTCTAGAATATACGTCCTCTTTTTGCAATTACTAATATTGGATCCGACAGCCTACACTAACTAATTACAGTAATTCATTTAACAAATATTATGAAGTACCTACAGTCTTTTCAGGACTGTGTTAGATGCCATGACAGATAGAGGGGCTTATGTCATAATTGAGGAAATAAGATTTATAACATGTGCAGCAAATAGAAAATATGGAAAGTACTTGAGATCATAGATGAGCAAGCTCAAGATGGTGGTTGTAAAGACAGTTCAGTTCTTAGTGGAGGGAAATTCAGTGGTTCCTTGTGCCTGTGGAGAAGACATATAGTTGACACAGGCATGTCACCTGAGAGATGCTGCATAACCCCTTTGGCTTCCATTTTCTGGCTGTCACATGAGAAGGCTGGACAAACTTCTTTACCAGTAAGTGCTTTTCCCTTTTTGTACTGTGTCAGGCACTGTGCTAAGTGCCTGGCATATATTTCTCATTTTATCTTTACAATAACTATTTGAGATACATACTGTTCTTATTCCCCCTTTTCTGATAAGTAACCTTGGACTCTGAGAAGTTAACAAAATGGTACAAGGTCACACAGCCAATAAACAGGTGGAACCTGGATTTGAACTCAGTTCTGCTTGCCTCCAATGCATGCAAAATGGCTTCCCCACGTTCTGGGCAGTTCTAAAACCAGAGCCATGGCATCAATTACTGAAGTTAGGCAAACCCTGCCAACCGTCTTGCCATTTCAGCTAGGCTGAAACTCTTTATGTGCAGGTCCCAAAGTTTACTGTTTGCTGCTTAACACAGTTTCTGACACTACATAACACATACAAAGCACACAGTACATGTTTATTGATTGAATGAACTTGAAAAACAAGGATGCTCTCCTGAGATACTCCAAATCCCACAGGTCTTGGCACCTAATATTATTGTCTCAAGGAGATAGAATGAACATGTGAAATCTGTGGTCTTTCGTTAACCTGTTAGAAAGTGACGTGCTAGGGGCGCCTGGGTGGCGCAGTCGGTTGGGCGTCCGACTTCAGCCAGGTCACGATCTCGCAGTCCGTGAGTTCGAGCCCCGCGTCGGGCTCTGGGCTGATGGCTCAGAGCCTGGAGCCTGTTTCCGATTCTGTGTCTCCCTCTCTCTCTGCCCCTCCCCCGTTCACGCTCTGTCTCTCTCTGTCCCAAAAATAAATAAACGTTGAAAAAAAAAATTAAAAAAAAAAAAAAGTGACGTGCTAGTAACTTTGCATTTTGGTACTAGAGAAACATTTGTGTCTGTGCTGGCTGTGAATATTTTTATCAATAGCACATGAAACTTAAAAGAAAAAATAAGCTATACCTGAGAAACAGGGAAAATCCCAAATCATGTGGTAATCAACTTTTACTGAAGAAATCAACAGATTTCATAAGAGTAAAATAATTTCACAATCAAAGGGATTGCATAACTACCTAAATATTCCACAGCTGAACCCTGGATCACATTTAGTTTTATTTAATAAAACTTGCTGCATTTTAGATTCTAACATATTACTTAAGATTATTTTTAAAAGACTGTGTAACAAACACACTGATAGCTATTTTCCATAAAAAGTGACTACTGAATTATGACCAAGGGCCAGGCAAGAAAAATACAAAAAGAATGAAGAATCTGTTCTGATCCTTCATTCTGATAAAAAGAAAGGCATTGCAGTCAAAGGGGAAGGAATTTAGCTGAAACCAGGTTGGGGTACAGACTGCCATTCATTCAATTAACAAGATAAAATTTGGGTAAGCATGAAAAACTTTAAATGCCCAGGAGATAAGAACTATAAAACTAAATCCCAGCTGAAAAATACGGTTTTAGCACTCCCATTAACAACTTCAGGCTGAATTCGATAATTAAAAAGGGCTTGGCAACTCTACTTGCGGCTTGGTGTTGAATCTGACTGAGCCATCTTGTCTCAGTTAAAATTTCCAGCCCATGAACCTCAGCCTATTTGAGATAGTCCTGTCCTACTAGCTGTTGAGTTACCTTACAACAGTGGAAAATTCAGAATTAGAAACAAGTATAAAGATAAAACAAATCAAACCGAAGGTATACTGATATTTTGTGTTAAATTTAGGAGTTTTGCAATGATCAAGATCATCTGTTTATTGTTTAAACAGTTACATTATTACATTAAACCATCCCCATTTGTGATTTTGATTTAAAACACATAATTGATTTTCTTTTGAGGTGTTAATCTGGCAGGTGTCAGCCGATTTGACTAAGTTTGTAAACAGAAGCGGGAGGGTTTTAAGAAAACTTCATTTAGTATAATTCTAAGTTTGAATTATTAATCTTATAAGAGCTGCTTAAAAGCTTGGAATATGTTGCTCTTAGGTTTGTGAGTTTGCCTTGTCAGGCATCTGAAGTGCTTGAAAAAAATCAGATGGATTAAATTTATAAATGTACTTCAAAATGGTTGAGGGAATTTAAGTAAACTTCAAATGGACTAAATTTTTTTAGGGGAATTTAGTTTGTTAAACTTGTGTTAGTTGAACCTAAGAAAGGACAAGTGAAAAGGACTGTATAAGTAACATAGCAACATGTGTGAATTGCTGGGGTGTCTGGGTGGCCCAGTTGGTTGAGCGTCTGACTGGCTCAGGTCATGATCTCATGATTGGTGGGTTCCAGCCCTGAGTCAGAACCCTGTGACAGCTCAGAGCCTGGACCCCGCTTTGGATTCTGTGTCTCCGTGTCTTTCTCTGCCCCTCCCCCACTTGCCTTCTGTCTCTCTCTCTCAAAAATAAACACTAAGAAAAAAAAAAAAAGATGTGTGAGTTGTGAAAGCTTAAAAACTTACGTTTTAAAATTTAATTTTAAATTCAATGTCATGTTAAACCTGATTAAAACTATCAGTAGTCCTTTATACGCACAAAATTTTAAATAGCTAACAGCTATTATTTGCCAAGTGCCTTATTCTGCTGTGCGCTCAGTGGTGCTACTCCTCTGACTTTGTTCCACATGAGGTTCCTGAGGTTTCCAGGGGCTAAGTGACTTGCCTAAGGTTACAGAGCTCATTAATCAGTGTGAGTTTTAGGACCCCACTCAGAATCCACATCAGTGTCAGTTGACCTATGGATTGCTTCTGACTGGGAGGCTCCTGACCAAACAACCATGTGTCTACTTACTGGCTTCTTCTTTAACTTTATCCATTTCTGCCATTAATGAAACTTCTTTGTCAATGATGCTGGGGGGGAAGGGGGAGGGAAACAAAAACAAAAGCAAAGAATGCTTAATCAAAGATAAACTTTTAATAAGCGCTGGAAGCAAAAGAAAAATTATTTTCATTAAACAAAAGACAAAATTATCATAAATATTTCTATGTTACAATGCCAGCAGCACACTCTGCCTTTTCCAAAAATGAGGCAACACGGAAGGGATGCTCTCAAGTATTTCATAGTGACATCTGCTGATTAAATCATTGTCAGCAAATCTAAAAAAAAAAAAAAAAAAAAAAAAAAAAAAAAAAAAAAAAAAAAAAAAAAAAAAAAGCCTTTTCAGACTTTCAGAATTGTGCTGCTTTGAATTTAAATTTGGGAGTATTTTTGCCCTATGAATTCCAAAGTTCCACAACAATGTAATGAGTATTTGAAAAGCTGCCATTCAGGTTATCAAGGGCGGTAGTTCTCAAATGTCTCTGTGCATGGCTCCTCCAGATTCTGGCTGGGAGGTGAGCCCATCTCTGATTCAGATGGTCTTGGGACCTACTTTGGGAAATATCATCTGGGTCTACCCATCCACATGTTCAAAGAGTCTATGCCTTATCATTCCCCCAAAGAAGCATTTCAACTTCAAATTACTTCCCCCTCCCCACCCCACTGTATTATTTTTTGGTTAGTTCTTTGAAAAAAGTATTACCTGCATAAAGTAAATAATTATCTCTCTAGAAGTTTGTTTCTCTTCCATCCAGACTCCCAGTTCCCCTCACAACAGCAACACATGTGAGACTTCCTTTATACAGTTGATTCTTGAACAACATGGGTTTGAACTATGTAGGTACACTTATATGTGGATTTTTTTGAGGGGGGGGGAATACAGTACATTACCATAAATGTATTTTCCTTAATAACATTTTCTCTTCTCTAGCTTACTTTATTGTAAGAACACAGTATACGATACATACAACATACAAAATATGTGTTAATTGACCCTTTATGTTATTGGTAAGGCCTCTGGTCAATGGTTGACTGAAAGTTAAATTTTCAGGGAGTCAAAAGTTACATGCAGTCTTTTGATTATGCATGGGGGGAGCACCCCAACCCCCCCCCCGCATTGTTCAAGAGTCAACAGCATATCCTTCCATAAGGATATATCCTTATGTATATATAAGCATAGATGTGAGATGTTCTTAAATTTTCATTTCCATCATAAATATTTCAATACATATCTCAAAAAGATAAGGACTTTTTGGGACTATAACCATAGTATTACCATAATATCTAAAAATATTAACAATAATTTAATGTTATCAGATATCTACTCAGTGTTCAAATCTCCCTAATTGTCCTATACAGATTTTTTATCAGTTTAACCAGGATCTAAATAAGTTCCGAGCACTGCAATTGGCTGATTGTCTATTAAATCTGTTTTAATCTATAGATTCCCTCCCATCTCTTTTTTTTCTTCTTTGCAACTCATTTGTTGAATACACCAGGTTGTTTGTCCTGCTACACTATCCACAGTCTGAATTTTGCTGACTACATCTCCATGGGTATTTAACCCATTCTTTTAATTTTCCTATGAATTTGTGATGAGATACAGAAATTTGATTAGATTCAGATTTGTTTTTTCTTCTGAGAAGAATACCTTGTTATCTGCTTCTACCGGCAGACACATAATGACACAACACAGTTATAAATATTCCTCTTGAAAAAAAAAAAACCAAACCTGAATGTATTTGGATTCCTCCATCTCACAACAAGTTGATAGGAAATACAAAGGACATCTCCATTTTTATATTAGCCATTGATGATCGTTGCCTAGATCAATGGGGTTTTAAAAAGGGGATATTCAAATTCTATCACTCCTTCATTTATTTACTGGAAGACTTTCACAAAGAGAAACTTTCTCTTATCAGCTATTTGGGTTATCATGCCGTTTAAGTAGGTAAGGCAGGGTAAATGCTGGTGTATCAGTTTTCAAAACGATAGTTGGTTCCTTAGCATCCCCCAAAGTAACCAATGAGGTTTTTTTTTTTTTTTGCTTGTTTGTATAGTTTGATTATGAACTCATAATTAACATGCTTTAATACACTGCAGTTATCTCCATAATTATTATCTGTTTCAACAGATGTACTTTTTTCCCCATCGGGTGTACTTTTAAAATTTAAAGTGATTTGAAAATTTATTTCCTCTTAAGAGTAATATTTTGTAATCTCTGTCAAGGTAAGAAGGGATATATCTATAGGACTTCTGGGGCTCTTCATCCAGATGATGTAACCTGAACATCTGGAGAGCAAGGACAGTATGCCGAGAAGCTCAGCTCTTTCCAACCAGGAAATCCTCATGGAAAGAACTGACGTGTAGAGTGAATGGCACATTCTCCAGAGCTGGGCTCTAAGCCTAATCCATCAAGTATGGATATCAACTATCCCCATGAAGCATATGGCTTAAGGTCACTGGATATGATCACTTTGGTGTAGCCAGCACATCAGGATACTTGTACCTTATTTATTGACATTAAATAAGTATGATGTCAATGTGCTTTAAATACAGGGAATACAAAAGAAGGAAGTCTTTATCCTGTCTCTGTCCCAGCTTATTCAGTTCCCTTCCTTGGAGGTCTCCACTATTACCATCACTAGCTTCTTGAATTTCTTTCCAAAGGCCATCTATTCATAAACCAGCATTTATTAATCATATGAAATGCTGAGTTAGGCAAACAGGCTTATGCTCCTGTGATTATAAGGTATATTTAGCTTCTCTGTCAAGTTCACATGTAGCCAATACAGGCCAAGCAATTTGTTGTTTTTGTTTTTAACAACCCTCTCAGAGAGGGCTGTTCTGTATTAGTTTAGGGAAAAGAAGGCTAATGGATGAGCTATTAGGGAGATAAGAGGAGAACCTAGAAATCTGGACTCAGGAGCCCCAATTACAATGCGATTAAGCTACTCTGCCTAAGAAAATGTTTTGAATTTCTAGCCCCTACAGAAAGAGAGGCAGAAGAGAGAGGGAGAAGAGTCATCAAGAAGGCTGGGAATTGTACAGAGTGAAGGCCCTGGGAGAAATCACCAGTAGTGGGATGGGCAAAAGAACTTCCGGGAGCCAGAAGTCTAAGGTGTGCACTGTGAGGACTGTGATATGAGCCTCCCTGGGGACTGCCCGATCTTCACTGTGCTTGGTGCAGCCGGTCTGAATGTGCGCAAGTGAACACACACATGGTCAGCTGAGGAGGTGGCTGGGTTCCACGTTTGGGTCAATTTGATGCTGAACAGACGGGAAGGCAGACTGAGGATGAGAATGTGGAGCCCACCCTCAACCCCGGAACTGGCACAAATCTTAGAGAGGGCTTTTGACTTCCACTGGACATGAATAGGAGTCCAGGACCACTTCTTAGGAACTTAGGAGCAGGGACACTCCAGCTGAAGGATGGGCTACAGGTCATGTGAGCCCTGCAGGTAGCTTGTGCTCCATTCTCTTAAGCAATGGAGTGTAGCGGGATTGCACAGGTTTGGGACAGCAGTGCAGGAATGTGCCACAAAGAGCACTAGAAACCACATACACTGCACAAGTATTTGCTGAGTGCCTGCCATGTGCCAGCGAGGGTGTTGAGGCAGGGAATGCTGCTGTGGATGAAGCCCCCTGCCATCCCTGTGGAGCCTACAGTCTTTTGGGGAAAGCTGAGAGGAAGGGGAGAGGACCTGCCAAATTTACTGGGGAAAAGCAAAAAGCAGACGGTCAGGGAAGAAAATGACGGCAAGAAGAAATTCCTCCACCCGAAACCAATGTCCTAATTAGAGTCTGTGGGATCTGAGGGCACACAAGGTACACATAACTAAAGGACATACATGCACCCAATACAAGAGTGGGTGTCCTTAGCCTTCCCATGGGTGGGGGAGGAGCACAGCACGGGGAGTGCCCGGGAAGGTCCCACAGTCCTCCCACGCATTCAGTCCCGGAACAAGGCCAAGACCCGGGAACCTTACAGCCTGTGTGTGCGTGTTGGGAGGAGAGAATGGTGGAGGAACGGGCCTTTGCTAATTTCTTTACTAGCTACAAGATCATGGTAAATTCTTATTGATTAAGTTTGTTAACATAATTATGTGCCCAGAGGGTTTACGAGATGGACATTTGGGGTATAACACATATCCCCAGGTCTAATGCATAACAAAGCTGGATATTCATACAGTGGTTAGTTTGGGCCTTCTGGGGCCCAACAGGAGGAATGAAGGTTTTCACAATAAATTGTTAATCTGATTAATGCCCACTTGAGGGTGTGATAAAGCTGTGAGGTTGGCATCAAACCATGCTTCCATTCCTCTGGGTATTTCAACAAAAGATTGTCCTCAAGCGTCTTAGTAATTCAAGCATTGCTACGTATGACTGCTTTCAAACCTCATGTGCAGAAAGGCAAGCCAGGAATCTCTGTTGAGTCAGGACCCTGCTCAGAACCCATGAACTGAATGCAAACCAGGATTAGGTGCCAGACTGAAGCAGCTCCCTCCAAACCTCCCTCAAGATCTCAGTAAGATACACCTGAGGGTTTCTTTGGCTTTCACTTCCAAGGCAGCAGGATTGTGGAAGGGAAGTAGATACAGAGGGTGAAGAGGATTTCATAGTAAAGGCCAGTCTGTTCCCTAGCAGGCTGTCAGACAGTGAGGAGCCAGCATTACATCAAGCTGAGAACCAGATCGAAGGAAGGGTATGAAAGACTGTGTCTAAAAAATTCCAAATGCCCTCAGGACCTGAGGTCACATCCAGCTTCATGAGCACTTTCATCAGTGCCCTGCATGAGTCCTACTGATCTTCTTAGCGGTCCTAGGACAGATACATACACTGGGTGCACCTGATGAGAAACACTGCAGGCCGGTAAGGACAGAGGGTAGTACCAGATACGCAGGTAATCTGGAGTACCAGATATGCAGGGCAGGAGGGAGGGTCTTGAGAGAAATGACATCAGAGAGTTGAAGAGTCCACAGAGAAATCAAAGGCAGTGTCACAGACCACATTCCTACTGAGGAACAGAAAG